AGTGAGTAATCGCATGTATGCTATTCTCTCTGCGAAGGAGAAAAGAAAAGCGAAACATAGCCGAAAGCGTAGAGAAAAGTGTAAAAAAAATAATGAGTCGAAATTAGATAAGAAAACTTGAATTCGAGTATCCATAATGAGAATTTTAAATCCCCTGATTAACGCGGCTGCTGACCTTCCTCAGGATAGACTTTGCGAAGGAAAAGTCAAGAGAATTCATAAAATTATGCTTAAGTCTTAAAATCAGTCAAATCTACACGTCGAATCTTATTCCTGCTCTTTCAACGCTTTAATTAAATTTATCCGCGAGAAGCTTCTCTCTCTCTCTCTCTCTCTCTCTTTTATGCCGCACATTCGTTTAGGTTGGATGTTCTTTACGGATTACAAAATACTTTTTTGAGAGAAAAAACCTCGCAAATATATACTTTGCCAAGTGTATTGTGCTTTTTTTATTTTAATAATAAAGTAATTTTAAACTGACGGATTTTTCATAAAAAATAAAAATAAAGCATTTAAAGACTTTAAATATGATATGGCCTCGAAAATTTCCGCTCGTCAACGTTTTCAAATTAATTATTTAAAGTATTCTCGGTGACTTATATAGCGATGCTCATCCCTGTTAAACGAAGCGATAGGCTGCCACCTGCTCAAGTCACAGCAGGTGGCGGCTCATCTCTCTCGCCGTAGTAGCGACGTTACCGCATTCGTATTCGCGACGCTCCTATATGTATTTCGTAAATGAAAGGCATAAAAAAATGAAGAGATCGATTACAAACGAAAATCTACTTCAGCACGTTCAATAGTATCAAGCAAGCAATGCACCGAGTAAACTTAAAAATAAGCCAAGACTTTCTCCATGCGTAAACTATTAACACGTCCACAGTAATTATTTATATTTGTTTAAAAAATTCACGCACTTTGAAAGATTGGCATGATTTCATAATCGAAAATTATAAATTAGAACACACTGACCCGTGACTCATTGAACACAAATTATACCTGATGACACTTGACAAATACAATTTAAAGTAAAGCAGACACGTTATTTTCAGGAATATGAATTATGCAACCGCTATTATTACCTATCCTCTCTATCGGTATTGTTGATATAAACTGCATTATTGCGCTTAACGGTCATTTAAACTAAAAATGCGCAACGCCGGGCATAACATATGCCAGCCGTCTATGAATAATTACGTAAAACTCCGGTTATACGTCACACTGCAGTGTTAATGAACACGTGGGAATTGCTTAGCGTTATTTATCGGGTTATCATGATAGCACAAATAAAAGTTCTACATCGGAACAGGATATCGATATTTGATATATAGAAGCTTTTAGCAGAGTACACAATATAAGAAAAAGTAATTTGGATCCTGCATTATTTTCCGTGACTAACAATGGCAGTAGAAAATACTTTATTAAGTTTGTAGCGTTACCACTCTGGGAACAAAAAGACAGTTAGCAACCCATTTTGGGGCCCGCAATTACACTGAAAATAAATCTCATAGATTCAACCAGTCGTCTGTTAGAAAATGGACGAATCAGAATTCCTTTAGAATTTACCAGATATGTAGTGAAGTCTAACAAACCTCTGGTTATGAAATATCTTCCATGGCAAATCCTAACGGAATTCTGGTAAATCCTAAAGGAATTCTGATTCATCCATTTTCTAACAGACGACTGGTTGAATCCATCAGATTTTTTTCCGTGTAGTAATCGAATTTTACCGCGCGTAACTAAAAATCGCAATTAGCTGTTCTATCTATATCCAAGATTTTTAAGTAATACTAATCAATTCTCTCAATTGTTTCTGTCGATATTTAATAACGCAAAGATAATTTTCACTTAAGAGGCACTAATCGAAATGCTAAGTTGCTTAACTACAAAAAAACGACGGTCAAAATTTTTCCCAGAGTAGAGTTGCGAACAATCCAAATAATTCGATTACTAATTGTGGGCCCCAAAATGGGTTGCTAACTGTCCCCTTTTTTCCCCCAGAGCATGAGTAGAGTAACGATGTCGTTACTCCGCCTCGAATTTTCCGTGAATGAGACGACACGTGATTGAACGTTAATAACGTCCTGGTTACGTGTGAGACTGCGGTCGCGGGGTAAGTTATTTCCGCACGTCATAACGTCACGTATGGTCGTCGCGTATTAGAGCGATAAATTCACGAACCGGCCCTGTTACGGAACATAAGTTACAGATCCGAGCTCTCGCTACAGCGTCACGGAGTAGGAAGATACGTCAGGAAACGTTTCGCTACCACGATGCGACATCGGAATTGATTGATGATATCTCACGAGCTAAATATTCACCGGTGATATCGAAAATTCCGCGAATAGCCACGTAAGCCGGGAGATGAATTTCGCACGTGAAAGCGATTAACGGTATCGCCGATAGCGCTCGGATCGATATCTTCAACAACCGCGCCAGGGACTTGGTCCTTATTATTGTTTAAGGTAGTTGCTTCGCGACAGTAATGCTCGAAAGTTTATTCCAGACAGATTCCAGCACTCAATTCTTACAATGATATATCTTGATGCAATATTGTTCTAAAGAATGCACCTACGATTGATACATAATATAAAATAGATTCGAAAGATTATAGTTTGAGGCGCTGCCGCCACATCTTTTACACTACACTCATGTCTACTACACAATTCTTCCCATTTTTCAGTTTTAGCTGTTTATGTTGTTGAAACGGTCAATAATTTTGATGTTTTTTTCCAGTTATTCGTTCTGTTTTACTTTATAACATATTGGTTTCTCATACGAATCTCACTCACCGTTAAGCTTAAAGAAAATTAAATGTGCCATCATTTGCGTTTGCAAACGAAAATATTAATATTTTAACACATAATAATGTATGTAAATAATATTTTACGTGTAATAATATTACAACGAATTATATTGTTACGTGTGATAATATTTTTAACGTAATATTTCGTGTAACGTAGCAAACTTTAACAATTTTTTTTAGAACTTTGAGACGGTCAATTTTAATTTAATTCGCCTTATTTTGCACGTATTAATGTAAGGAATAAACTGTAAAAATTTGAAACAATTCTCACATAAATGATTTTACGAAATAACTACCTTAATAGCAATGCAGCGAGCGAGAGATACAAAAAGAAATATCATCGGCTTCAGAGCGTGATAATTTATATAATCTTAACGAAAAATGTATTACCGTGTCGACGAACGCATAAAAATTATCAGGAATTTTCATGCCAGGCGACCGATTTTCCTACGAGTAGATAGTATTTCAATTATTCGTCGGTTACTCGCACGTCTCTCGAGGAAACCCGTTGGAATTTCATCGTGAAAAATGGAGTTCCGGTCGACGGAAATTATGCAAAGTTTGAATATTGAACTTCGCGCGAGACACTTGCGAGCGGCGGCCTTCGTTACTAGTTCCTGCGGACGACAAACGTCTGCCATTGAAATATAATGCGGTCGAAATAAGATTCCCGTGAGTGCACATTTTCTATCTGTAATTCTATAAAGCTAGATCTATAAGAACCTAGTGATGCCTCGATAAATATCGGAGATCATATAAAATTAAATTGTTGTCCGAGAGAAAATATTAAATATTTAAACTAATTACAGTAATCCGGTGTTGCAAGATGAAATCTCTACAGTTTCTTCGCATTTTAAACAACACTCAAATATAATAGCAGACCATTAATGTTTCGTAAAGTGCATAATTTAATGCTACGAGATGGATATCTTACATATTAAAACCAATGCTTTCTTTGTTACTGTAACCTAGCGTTTGTATAAACTGCACGACGAACGAATGAAAGCGTTGTGTGTGGAAAAAATTTGCAGATTTCGGATAAACGACATCACAATGACCGAATAAAATGCATAATTGTGTACTTATCTCTTCGAGCAAGGTGCTGTATCAGAATTATTAATTTTTCGTACAAACGAGAGCGGAATCTTCAATAACTGTATAATTTATAAATGCCATAAAAAATTGCCCTTCATACTTGTATTAATGAATCGTCCATGTACAAGAGAAAATATATAGCGGTTAGTCGATATTATTAGCGCCAATTTGATATTACTACAGTCGAGTTTCGATGACACGGCATTACGGAAGTTAGATAACAAGACGTTAAAATATAGTTTTACGCCATTCACACTCCTGCGCATGCATGTAAATCAACGCGCAACGGAGCTGTGTCGTCATAGGCATCTCTCCCATTTACATAAGACGATCGAATCGGGATGAATGGAACCGTTTACCTGTGTGTGTATGCGTGCGTGTGTGTATGAGTGTATGCACGCTGCACGCATTCATCTCTCAGAACAATAGACCGCGAGTTCGTCCCTGCGCCTACAGCCCGTATTCCTTTTCCCTCCTTCGACCGAGGCAGACATTTCTGAGAGGAATGGCACACGAATGCATCGTCTAATTGTGCGGAAAATGCAGTGTAGCCGCTACAGCTCGCGAATCCTCGGGGCGCGTTACGTAGTTTTATGAAGCTACCGCAAACTCTGACGCAATTCTGCGAGCAACGCGAGCACGTCATCGCGGTCGCTGGTTATGTACGGCTAAAACAAATATGGAATATACCGTTGCACGAAGGGCTCGAGATGATTTTAAAATCGCTCTGGGTTAGACAAGACGACGACGTTAATTAAAACAAGGGAGATGGACTAGTCTGTAAATGCAATCATCCACGAACACTCGACCCTTTTTGAAATGCAAATTTCACTTGAATTTCAATTATGATTTTTATTCGCGCGTATAGTCGCAACGTCTCGTGTTATTTTATAAAACATAAAATCTTTCGAAGCGATAAGTTTTGTAGCACGCGGCATTTGTTATTATGGCAACAATGCGGTTTAATAAATACGGGTCTAGAACCCTTTGAGGAAAAACCGAAAACTTTGTCAATTATGTCGAAGTTCTGAAATGGAATTTCACGTAGATGTTTCCCGATTCAATTTTGCGCACTCACCAAAATGCAATATCTTTACAGATCTCCACGTTAATCTCACACAGAGAACGACCGCTATGCTCGGATCGGAGTTTGCGAGCGGTCGCCAGAGTCGGCCAAGCGGTAAATTTGGCGGTCGAGAGATTCGTGACCGTTGGCGAAACCATCGCAGACGACAATCCGGAGATCAAGCAAGACATGTACGAGGCATGCAAGGAGGCGAGAGTTGCGGGTAAGCGTAATATACACTTACAGTTGCGATAATCAATAGGTACACACACACACGAAAGATAGTAAATGAATAAAACAGTCCGGGTAACTCGAGGGGGAAACCGCTGACCAAAATCTTGTACACCAATGCCCACTAATGCCCAGTGGGCATTACTTTATCTTATTATCTTCTTTTATCTTATTGTATCTTATTTTATCTTACTTTATCTCTATAATGCCCCAGCAAGACGTACCTAATGCCCAAAAAATCCCCTAGTAATGCCGCAAATCTGTACACCACAATGCCCTCAGCGGTTTCCCCCTCGGGGTAACTTTACACGATCTAGCCTGGTTAAATTAAGACAAATCCTTTGTAAATCGTTACAGTCCCTATGCAATCTAAAAATGTGCAACAAGATTGTCGTTTCTACATACTCGATTCTTACGAATGAACGATGAAATTCTTACCAATAAATTTCGAATACGCTATATAATATTCAAATTATTTATACATTAGCGAAAGTTTTCCGTTCGTAACGAAATATACCGCAACAATGTCGATAGTTCTCGCGAAATGAAGAAAGCGATATCACTGTTGATTCCATAGAACAAACTAACGAATTTCATAGAACGGATGAAAATTATGCAGCATGATACGGACGCAAATTCAATGCAAATGTTCTCGCGAATATTACGATAGTGTATTAATCAAAAGTTGGGACAATACAAACGTATCCAATTGCACATTACAGAGTAAATTCGCATTAAAACTTGGCGTATTTTGCACGCCGACATCATGCATCTGTTGGAGATTATGTGAGCAACTTTGGAATGGTGTATTATCTAGTAAAGGAACAATACGATGCGGAAATTCGCAAAATTCTATATCACCTAACATTGTTAAGAAAAGAAACTTCCAATTTTATTTTTGGCGAGCAATGTACCTTGCTGCAATCAACATTATTTAAGAAAGTACGCAAAAAATGATGCTTATTAAATTAAAACGCAATCTATATACCTACACGCGCCTACACATCTGATGCGAACAAAAGTGAAAAGCAAACGGTATTAAAGCAAAATTTCCATCTTGACTGTAAATTTTATTACAATGATATAATTTGAAGTACTTTAATACTTTCGTTCAGATTATGTTCCATTGAAAACTTTGTATTCTCCTTTGAGATTATCTCCTTCTCGAGAACAAATTGCATTATACTTGCACTAGTTTCTTTTCCGCGAATAATATTATCTCGAGCGGGTAGAAATTTCACTATCCCAATGTTTGGAATAATTATATTACGTCAGATGAACTCGCAATCGGACGACAAAGCTGCTCGTGAATGTAAAATCTTATCGCGTCGCAAAGTCCTGTAGCGTTATTTACAAGAATGTCTTGTCCTGAGAATGCAGAAAAATAACAACTCTTTCTCTCTGCTCGGTTTTAATTTAACATTAAAGATCCTCGGATACGAACTGTCCGTCAAATGAAAATTGGACTCACTTCGGACTTGCGAAGATTCAAAAGGACGCGTCGCGAATTACTCCAACGCGATTTTATGACTTACGTGCGGAACGACCAAGCATTCTTTTTAGCATGCAGATTAGTATCTTATAGCCTCTTCGCTTTTTAAAAAGAAAAGAACGGGAAGATAGAGACACGAAGACGTTTTTAAATATTTCGCGCAGCTACCAAACATTCGCGTAAAAGCGAATGTCTTTCTACACCGTGACGCAAGGAATCATACTCGGATTGAAACGCCAACGTTGAACGTCGGAAAGGATATAAATTGCGTCTCTCATACGCAACCTTGCGCGAACCACCTCTAAGAGCACGCAAACCGGAAGAAGGCTCCATGCACGCGAGGATAAGACTCGTAACCTTTGAACGTCACTCTCCGAAGTCTTATCGTTAGCAGATTATATCTTCTCGTATCTTCACGCTAGGTTGCACGTTGCGGCACGACGAATCCTACTGCCGCTACCATGTGGAAATAGCACGCGCGATGACCCAGTTTCGCCAAACCTTGAAAGGTTTTTCGCTACCTACGTGCATGAGAAGAGCCGACGTATCTTTGCCAAATAGCGGAGAAATAACGGCCGTAGTAAGGACCGCGGATATTTCTTTCCAGCACACCTGTTCGCTCTTTCGGGGAGAATTGTGCCGTAGAAAGAAGAAACGGCCTCGGTGGTCCTCGGCGCAAAAAGTTCCGCGTCACAAAATTGAACATCTTGAGGAAAGCTCTCGCACCGAGAGCAGTACTCGGCGTAGGTTCAACTAAAAGAATGCTCCATAACTTGAGAATAAAAGAGGTATACAGTACACGCACGTATAAAGATACCAGCTGAGATTACATTCGAGCATCGGCTCATATGTTTAAGAAATACTATTATTACATCAGTTTATTCCCTTCGCTATCATCGATCTCGCGCTTAAGGGAAAGCGGCGATATATAAATAATAAACCGAGCTTTCGTCACAACAACCGAGGTCAAACGGCATTCTGTACAATCGGAAACGGCGTGCTTCACCAATTTAGAAGGTCGATAAAAAAAATTGTCGATAATAGATAAGATGGACAATTCGATTACCAGATTACGTAGGATATCTTATCGGAGCACGCGAGACGTATCAATTCGAAGTAATGAAATAACGTCGAAAGGGCACCAATATTACAGCCGTCGTACGGAGACATGCAAGCTTACTACCCCGCTGGCTTGAACAAATCGTTTCGCGTGGTATCGCGTGTAAATCGGTGCACCCCGTAAGTGTAACTAACCGTGGAATTGCGAGCGCTATCGTGTGCCTGCGGGATTCACTACGACACAGCACGCGACGAATTTGTATAAACCGTCGGTGGTTTTTGCATACAGATCACTCTTGGTATGTGCGTTCCGGCCGGACTGCCGTTATCGCGAAAATCGCCACTGCTCAATATAGGAAATCCGAGATCCTTGTATCTTTGCGAGACGCAAGGCAGAATTTTAAGTAGCGATTGCACAGGTTGCATACACGTTCGCCGGGTGCAGAGCTCGAGATCGAGCTGGAAGAAGCGCGACATTGCGCGGAATGCTTAAACGCCCGGTTATGCTTCCTTTCGCAAGATAACGCTATTTTCGATGCTTCGCGGAATTTAAGCTCGCGCACCAGAACGCCGGCGACGGAGAACAAGCGCATTGCTATAACGAAAAGCGACCACCGTAAAAGATGAGTGGCAACACGCCAAATTTATATCGGGGGAAACAGCATACGGTAACGACAAAACAACGCTAAGGAGTCGCACCTATCTAACCACGAACACACAGCTATAGTCACTGCCGTCTGAGTGCACCCGAACAAAGTAACGGAGGCGCAGATGCGCACGGTATGCACTTGATATCCGCATCAAGCCGGGTGATAATTACTAAAGAATTGCCGAAGACCGCACGGTACGTTAATACCAGGGTTGGGAAAGTTACTTTATGAAAGTATCTCGTTACTGTTTGTTCACTAAAAATGTAACTAGTTACAGATACTCAAAAAGTAACGAATCGTTACTTTGCGGTTACTTTCTTGCAGTGAAAATAAAAACATCAAATCTGCATCTCAATTGTAAAGAGGCGATAAAGGCGTTTGTGCGCAAATGCAAGGCCCAGTGCCGAGGGGCAAACCGCCGAGGGCATTGTGGATTTGCAGCATTACTGGGCATTACTAGGCAATTTTTGCGCATTAGTTGGGGCATTATAAAGATAAAATAAGATAAAACCAGATAAATAAGATAAAATAAGATAATAAGATAAAGTAATGCCCACTGGATGCAGTGGACATTGGTGTACAAGATTTTGGTCAGCGGTTTCCCCCTCGCCTAGTGCGATCTGTGGAGGTTCAAAAAATATATAAAGTAACTATTAAAGTAGTTACCAGTTGTCGAAAAAAAAATGTAACTGAGTTAAGTTACAGTTACAGACGGAGAGAAAGTAACAAAGTTAAGTTAGCGTTGCCAAAAAAACAGTGACTGTAACTTTGTTATAAGTAACGAGTTAGCACGTAAAATATCAAATTGAAAGGACGTAGTTCTGCTCAGTTAGTTCGTTGTTAGCTTCTCTGTCCTATGTCGCTGTTGCGGCGAAACGATCACCGATGATCAATCGGAATCATACCGTACGAAAAACGAATGCGAAAGCACAGCACGAATTCGGAACAATTGATAATAAAACGGTTACATGCAAATAGAGGAGCTGGAAATATCGTGGCGTACAGAGCGAAAATAAATTATCCGAGGATTGACACATTGATCACTGGGATGGACTTTGAAGGAAATCACCGGCGCTGTTAATGAAAATGGTGGGAAAATATCGAGGCACGCTGTGAATTTTGTAGTTCCGACTTCCTTTGTTCGCGTTGTATCAAATAATGGTCGTTTTCGCGATGTATCTTTGCGTAAATATTACCGATTAATTTTTCTCTCGATCATTTGTGTAAACTACAACGTTTGCAGTATTTTGATGAGACAAACGAATCTGTCATTAAAAAGTCCGTATAAATACAACTGTAATATGATATTGTGGTATTGTGGAGAATTTATACGGTTTTATTATTTCTACACCGCGGTCAATTCGTTCTGTCACGCAACATTGTGTAAACAGATTAGTATTCTCGACAGATCGATCAAGTTAATACTACGATCGCTGATACTCTTGATATCAAACACTGACGATTCTATCGCAATTTTCTTCGCGCAAATAAGCTGACATTTCCCCAACGTAACGGTGATAAATCCATTTTTATGACGAAACTAACCGAATAACAAAAAGTTTTCAGCTTGCGGCGTACAGCGGCACAAGAGAGCGATTTTTATCATGACGTGTCACTTGGGAAAAACGCGATATAAATTCACTCGGCGTACTTTAATGGCGAACAATAAAAAGGCCCGTTCAAATATAGGGTCGTCGCAAAAGCCGATAAAAAAAAATAACAGATTAGATTACACTGCGGAAACTTACGTATAAAGTCGCACATACGAAGCTCGTCCGCTCTGTATAAAGTGACGAAGGAGTTGTAATGCAAATATCGGGGCGATTTAACAACGCGGATAAACATTCCGCTAACGAGTAAAGTTAGTGATTCATTAGTCACATTCATCGTCATTGATCGTTTACACTCGCGTTATCACGGCTATCACAAAACGCCCTTCCACGCTATTTACTTGCACAATTTAATGGTATCCACTGATGAACGCAAAACCACTTGTGCCGCTTGTACAATTGCAAAGCCACATTATTATGTAAAGAGAGTAATGCTCTTTCGATTGTATAATGTTGGAAACAACTTCCTAAAGGTACTTTTTGCACGCAAAATAATTCAACTACACCAAATCAATTACCCACACCTGCGTTACAAATGCCCGTTACATTCGCGAAATAAAATTACACGTTAAAAATTCAGACTACATAAGAAGATCAATATTACATCGACAAAATATAGAAAGCCTTGTTCGCCTCGTGAGATAGAAAGCTCGAGCCTGAACGAGCGCGAGAGCTACTTCTCTCCTTTAAATTTAGATTTCGTTCACTTAATTACTCCGAGATTACTATGATAAAGAATGAAGAGGTTTGAGAGATGCTGAAATACTAATCGATATGGCTGTCATATTCCTAATCAAATCCAGAAAGAAATCGTAGCACTGATTACGATTACACTAATTACGCGCTATCGAAGCAAATTATTCGCTTATGTGTGTGACTGGAGCTCTTCTTATCACGCGAACTCAAGCAACGCATTAATTGTTCTTTCAACATTATCGCGTGCCGGCGGAAAGTTACAAGGGTAGCAATTAAGCGATTGATACGCATCTCGGAAAACTTGGTTTGTTCAAAATTCACGAACCGTATTTCATAATAACGATTCGGTTTCCTCGCGTGTTCGTATCGCGATAAATCACACAAATGTAGCATTTCGTAACAGCGAATAACATGCGAAACAAAAGAACGCGGTTCTTTTCACTCGCGAGCAAGAAATAAAAACATAAGTGTCAATCTCAAGTTTGACGTGCTTATCCCGGCCCGATGTGTTTCGCCCCGTGAATCACTGAAAAGCGCAGTCCTAGGACACGCTTCTGCGCGTCGCGTCGCATCCGAGCAATCTCTCCAATTGCAATCCATCCAATGCATCCGCTAGAGGATGCACTGGGATACCAATATCGAGATAAGTGACGTGTGCTCTATTTGCTCCGTTGCGCTCAAAAGTATCTCGCTAACGAGCCAGAATTAGGCGGACGCTTCTATAAAATTCTCCTTAATAAAATATCTTAATAAAGTCGGTTCAAGTTAAAATGGCACACCCTGTATATTGTATCAACAGTTTATTTATTTTCTTTTATACGAAATTATTTTCCTAGCAATTAAGTAAACTGTTAAATTTAAAAAGGAAACAGTTTTTATCAATTAGCGTGTTGTTTTTTTTTTGTGAAATGCAGAGTCATTGCCTCTAAATTGCTTATAATTCTGCTGGTAAATATGGAAAACGATCGATTTATCGGAATAATGATGGGACATGTAGGTTACGTGAAATCGTATGAAATCAATGCACCCTTCGATTTTTAAATTAGGTCAAGTTCTCCGCGTACTCACGTGACAGTTAGTCTATACAAAACGTTATAAGGATTCCGTATCGAACTGACTGATCTTACAACGCTCTGGCATTGTTCGTATACTAATCAGTTCGATAGAACGATATAAGCGAAGTTGCCTTCTAAAAGAATCTAGAGTGTGGCGTAAAAAGAGAACATTGCGATATCTAGTCGTTGCATCAACCACGAATATCTGAGGTTTTCATTAGGAATACCACGCTGTGCGCGATAGGTTGTAGCAAATATTTAACTTCGACAATAAACGTAATCGTTAATTTAAAAGTTTGCAACGTACCGTTAAAACGGAGCAAAATAAAAGAGCGTAGGTCTCGTTAATAAAACAAGCGTCTACAAAGTGAACGAGCTCTGCTAAAATATGAATAGGGACAATTCGCAGTAGCCTATGAGAAAAGTTTGTAAACATTGAATCGACGAAGAAACAACACACTGAAAAACGTCTTTGAACATTTATTTCTGGCATATAATGTTTATTTCACTGAAATAAATTTTCAAAGACTTTTTCCTCAGTGTACGGAGAAGCAAACTGAGGAGTAGGACGTAACGGAAAGCGTACGACACGAACGATAAAACGTTACTACAGAGAATTTGTAGACACAGATAAATTTCATCTGTTCCACTGAACACTTAATCAGCGTTTTCCCGTAATTACCTGATGTGCAGGAACAAATAATACTGATTATAATCGATTGTTCTCTCATCGATTCTCCCTATAGTTTACCTTTAGAACGTCGCGAGCTTCTAATGGCGATGAACAATTAATACAAGATAATAGCCAGCGATATTGTGTTTCGCGTCAACTACGGCTCTCTAATTCCGAAAATAATTATTTAATGATACAGCAACCCCCACGTCTCACACTCCAAGTCTTCCCGATCGATGACGGTATTATTAGAAAACGGTATGCACAAGTGCAACTTGGAAAAAGTTCCTTAATGTAAATTTCTATGTTAATTTCTGACAACGCCGTATTGTTAGAAAGGGCGCTGCGAACGACTTTTATATCACTCCCTCAACAAATTATATTTATACTAATCAATTACTATTAATTTCTCTCGTCAATTTCATTCTATGACCTTTTCAGTGTTAAACATTATACACCTGTTTGAAAAATATTGGATTCAAAAATACAAATAACAAAAGTTTCAAATAAAGAAGGAATGAAAATGAAGTAACATTTCTATTTCGACAGGTTTAGAGACGGTAATACAGTGCTGCACATATACTATCCGCGTTTTCCGCGTAATTTAATGATAAGCTTAATGCAGTACTGACATTGTTTAAGTAAGATAGCGAATGTGCGAAGTAGCTAATTACGATCGTTCGAGAGTACCAATTACTCGTAACCGTCGCACTTAAGTCAAGGGGCTCAGTCATAATTAAATCAGTTACTCCGATTTTACGGTGACACACGATAAAAAGGCGAGATGTTTAATTCATCAGCATTCCCTGTTCGTCACACTCGCACGAAATTCGTCCCATCGATCTCCCTTTCAAGAATTAAGCTTTGCCGCGGAATTAACAGAACAGATTACTACGTCACATGTATTTAAATTTCTGTAGATATGTATGTAATAAATGTTAGGGAGTGTAATCGGTCGTGTTGCATCTAGGCTCAGCAATCGAGAAATTATGCGAATGTGCCTTGGAAGACAGCTTGGCTGACCGAGGCTCCGTCGTAAGAGCTGCGAGATGTCTTCTAGGCTCAGTGACGAAAGTCCTCCTCCTGGCAGACATCGTCGTGGTCAATCAGTTGCTTCACGCCAAGGATAAGGTCGCCCGCAGTCTTGGGCGCCTCGAAAGTGTCTCGAATTTCACGGAATTCGTCAAGGCGTTCAGCCAATTTGGAGGGGAGATGGTCGAGTTGGCGCATTTAACGGGCGATCGTCAGGTGAGATTTGCTTCTCGCAAATCGATATTTCATTCATGAGTTTCGCACCAACTTCCGTAACACAACCGTGGCTCAATTAATTAAACGTTACATTTCATTTTCAGAACGATCTCAAAGATGAGAGGCGACGCGCGCAGATGGCAGCGGCTCGACAAGTGCTAGAGAGGAGCACCATGATGCTGCTCACGTCCAGCAAGACATGTCTAAGGCATCCCGAATGTCCATCCGCTAAGGAGAACAGAGACACCGTTTTTTGCCAAATGAGAAGAGCGATGGACCTGATACATTACGTTGTCAAGGATGGGGTGTTAGACTGCAGCGAATCTCAGTCCTACTCGAATTCACAGGTAAGCCGTCTCGATTCTTTATAAACACTTGTATTTTCCACTGGATATATCGTGTTCAAATTAACTTTATAAAATTAAGAAAGTAACGAAATTATAAAATTACGAAGAATTACGAAGAAGTTCGAGGTTGATCTATTCGCGATATTAATTGACAACGAATAGCGAACGATTTAAGGATTAATATGAAAATAATTAGCCGACATGAATATCCCCGCGTTAAAGCTTGCCGAGAAATGCTGTAATAACTGCGATTGCCAAATAAGCCAATGGTGGCTTTTCATACATCCATTATTAGGTACTAGGCAGCGAAAACGCATAGTACGTATCGTAAGGTTCAGAGAGAAAAAGCCGTATACGATAAAATGTTTCCGAAAGCTTTGGCGATATTCCAAGGAGTCTTTGTCCGCCAAATTGCGATTTACGAATTGTTCCCTAGTATGCGATTTAAACGACCTTGAGCCACGAACCGCTGCCCTTGCAGAAGTTGTAAACGAGATATCGAAACGATCCCAGTACGACTCGAGAAACCATAAATAATGGCGCGATGTCTGGCCTGGCAAGAAATCGATAAGCCGCGGTCGAAGATGGTAGAGGAAAATCAGCGGGATATGTTCTACGAATATCAATCGACCGCGATTGCATAGTATGTGCATAATCGACTATCCACGACGGCGATTATCGCGACATTGATAAATCTGCGATCGCTAATAATAATGTGTTTTACATAATTCTCCGTGTTCACATTTGCACTCTAACATATCATTTCCATTTACATTATATTTCAAAGAATTAATAACGATACACAATTGTGAAAGAAAACTTGTATCGAGAAATTGGAAGCGAAATACGCGATAGAAAATTGTGAGACCAGATTTCGCTCGTGGAACGTAAAACAAAAATGGAAATGTTTTATGCCGAGATGATCGCATACACGGCGACGTCGCTGAAAAGTAGCTCCGTGTAGAAAAATTCTAAATCATTCAAATTTTGGCTTTAAGATTAAATAGGCACGCGTTAAATATTAGAAACTAAATTGTAAGAGCTCCGGCCGTTATCCAAGAGCAAGGATGAAAAGTTTTTATCGCGGTGGGGAAATCGTCGCGCCATAAACGACATGGCCGTCATAAAGATTGCAAATGGTTATTCGCATCGTGCCAAATTGTGCACTCGCATTTACATATCGGCGCTTCGACGCGCGGTGCTTTCATTCCGTGCCAGATTTCTTTCGGCGCGAGATAAATGAGGGGGAATATTTCACGCGCTATCGGCACTTCCGAAAACCCCTCGAGTCTTTGAAGAAACAACGCCGGGAGAGTTGGGTCACGCTGAACGGCCTTTAACCGTGTAGAAAAATGTATATATCCTTGTATTTTACACTTAAGTACTGCCCACTTTCCGCGCGACATACATAATCGATTTTGAAGTGATTGTAGACAACCTGGTCAAGTGGAACGCTCCCGAGCGTGGAACCTCTCCGAAAGATTTAATATTATTTGTGCCGTGCCTAATATTTGTCTCTGCACTGAAAAAAATTTCTGGTTGACTATGGACGAATCAGATAATTCCTTTAGGATTTACCAGAATTCCTGTAATCCTACAGAAATTCTGGTAAATCCTAAAGGAATTCTGGTAAATCCTAAAGGAATTATCTGATTCGTCCATATTCAACCAGAAATTTTTTTCAGTGTGTCATCAGAGTGTTTTTCAACATTGCAAAGTGTGGTCACGCGAAAGGGTCCCCCAGACCCGTTGCATGATTACATTAAAATAATTAAGAAGATTCTTTCGCACGACGGAAGGAATCTCTCGTAAAAGATATTTCTCCGACGTCCGCCGTGTCACTTGCAGAGTCCGCAGCAGGAAGACTGGGATAGCAGTACCGTTTGCTCAGCTTTGAAACACTTCGAAAGGCTCGTCGAGACAACGAGGATGACCCTGCTGGGACCGGGCTGTCGCGAAACACTTACATCGGCGCTCGAGACAGTGGTCGAAAGGACGCAAGACTTCACCGACAGCGCTTATACGAGTCACGAACACAGGGAAAATATCCTCCTGCTTTGCGATCGCGCGAAACTCGAGCTCAATACACTCTTGCGGATCGGCAATAGTATGGTAAGTCGATAGAGTTTTTACTCTATTTTATTTAGCAAAAGCAGCGCGACTAAATGTTATCTGATAATACCGTACAGGAACCACTGGATTGCGATAAGAAACTTGAAACATAATTTCTAGAATTACACGAAACTTAGCAAAAGAAATCGATCAGAGAAATTAGTTAAGCATTGGCCATAAATTCGTTGAAAATGACCGAATATATTTCGAATGGAAAGAGATTTCCTAATAAATTAAACGGCGATAAAGCGTGAAATGAAAGACATTATATTCCCCATTAGAATTACGAGGGCGGCGGAGGTTCACCCAGCTCGGAGATGGAACAGGCGGTAATGGGTGTGCTACGCGCGACCAGGGACCTTCGCCAGCAACTCAGCGCGACGACGATGGAGCAGGCCGGCGATCTTGGCCAAGTGACAAAAGCCGGCCAGGAACTCGTGTCAACGATCAGAAATCTCGCGTTGGCCAATGACATCGACCGTCTGCAGGAGAGCAGCGACAGGTTCCACGAGTATATCGAACACATTCTCGAAGTAAGCTCCCAGACGTGGCCCACGCACCGCGTGTCCGCACGTGCATTCCAGGCTCGAAGTCCGCGAATAGCGCGATCTTTTCGAGGAATATTGTCGACTTACGAATTGAGGCTTTGCAGCGAAAATGCGCGCACCTCAACTTTCGGGCGTTTCTGAGATATCGATTTATCAGACACGGCACACAGTAATTGCCATTCATCATTTTTAGATTACGATCAATCACAGCGCCTAATTGACTTGATTCCACACTTAACTTTAAGTGAATAAGTGCACACAGTTCATTAGTCGTGTTCGACGTTAACAAGAAATCTTGATGACTTGAAGTGATTTTATCAATATACGTAAAAACTCGATACGCATACAGACTAGAATTTTGATTTTTGAATTTTATTCCATGTCGTTCTTCTTCCCAGGTATGCAAACTTCTAAGACATGTTGCGCTCTCGGAGTCGTTGCAAGTGTCGGCCAAGTTCACGGAGATCAATTTAAGAATATATGGTCCTCAGGTCGTAACGGCCGCGCACACGCTAGCTAGGCATCCCACCAGTAAGATAGCCAAAGAAAATCTTGAAGGTGAGCCACATAGATATATGTTTTAATAATCCACTGAATTTGCAACAACAATCTGTCGCTAATCTATTAAGCGTTTTTGTACATTTCACAGTATTTGCTGACATGTGGCAGTGGCTCATGACTGACGTGACGACAGTAGCGAAAGATGTTTTGGAACTCAGTCAAAACCGGCCAGAGAAGCAGGTTTACATGTCTTTGCCGCGGCCAGGGGTACGCATAAATCATTTCAAGCAACGATCAAAGATTCTCTCTATGTACAAGTCGATTAAGAGGAAACCGAACAATTCGCTGTTACTTCTCGTCAGATGTGACGAGCGAGAAATAAGCTGGTACGGTTCGTTTCAGAAACACGGCACGACGAGCAAGCCGCTAAAACCAGTGCGACTGGACAGCGAGGAGCAGGCGAAGATCGCCAAGGCGGGTCTCGAGATGAAGTTGATCACTTCGGAGATGGATGCCGAGACGGAAAAGTGGCAGGAGAGCGGGAGCGCTCTGGAGGAGAACAACGACATTGTGAAGCGGGCGAAGAACATGTCGTCGATGGCGTTCTCGATGTACCAATTCACGCGGGGCGAAGGCGCCCTGAAAACTACCCAGGATCTGTTCACCCAAGCTGAGTATTTCGCCGAGGAGGCAAACAGATTGTACAAGGTTGTGAGACAATTCAGTTACCAGGTACGTGGCGGCCGGCTAACGCGCCGACGTAGATCGAAAGAGAGATGACACATGTTTTTTTAATTGGACTGATGTTGATATATCTATATATCACCCTTACTTCTATGATCATTCTTTTACCATTGTTTATTATACGGATTCTATATTGGACTTGATTCCGCGTTTCTTGATCCTCGCTATATTGGAAATCTTTTTACTTATACATTACGCTATTGAGTTTCGTTTCTTCGTAAGTCGCAACGTCGAAGCTGCATCGAGTCTGCATCGAAAATTTACTCATACTCTGATTCACGCTATTATTCTCAAATATATTCATCGGTATAGATGCTAACAATTATTGCTAATTTAATGTTCAACGAGAGAATTTTCACCGTATGTAGAAATATAGAAATATTCTCTTACTGTAACAATACATTCAAGGTAGATGTCCGTCGGTATGTCGATATATTCCATTTTAGGTGAATTTTATTATAAAGCTTAATTTCTGATTACTCCGAGGGACGAAAGGGGGCGAAATCGATAGTGTTTCGTAACTTTTCCAGTAGATAGAGAGATGACAGAAATTAAGAAGTTAGAATATCTCAACGGATGTAAAAATAGAAAATGTCGATTGTACGAAAGCGCTATCTTATTATCTTGTTATTACTTCACGCTACTATAAATGTAGCTTCCAGACCAGAAGTAGCTTCGACATGCGTTATTAGCATTAGACATGTTCGAATTAACACGTTTGCTACCCTATTTCGAACCCCCTCCTAGCTAGGCCGAATATATATAGTCACCTGAAATCACTTTGGTCTCTCTTTATACTCTTCTTAAAAGAAACAACAAGACGCTAACCTTGTAATATATTCTGTATTATATACAATCCTTTTTTACCCTCGCTCTTGAATGCCTCCATCCAGGTAACTTTTTCTCTCTTTACTTTAGATCCTTTTGAACTAATAGATATCACTTTCGCCTTAACAAATCATACTCGTGCCGTATTTGTGTATGTATATATACATATATAAATTGCGCTCGCTCTCTCTCTCTTGCGGCGTCAATGTTCTACCGTTGTTGAGTGTTGTCATTACATTTGTATATACTATGTTTGTATATTGCTATGCAACATCACGCACGTAGATTTTCCTATTGATCATTACGAAGAGCATAGGCAAATTATATAAGATGTGAGCAAGTACAAAGACATCGGAAGCAGTTGCAGTTCAAATTTACGAAAGCGCTATTTGTCATCGCAAACCGATGGGACTGACGTTTCATTAAACCCGCGCAAAAGTCGCAAATACATTTGACATTCGAAAGCTCGCGTTCCCTTTGCATTATAACTCCCGGTATACGATCTAAGTCTTTCGAGAATTGCGGTAAATTTCGCGAGTATCATGTCATTCAAACTGTCATAATGAACGTTCATGATTTCGTTAGCAAATCTATTTTATCTACATACATTTACGACTTTTTGTGTACGATTAGTAAGGTGTGTTTTAGATGCTACGGGAATGCTTCCGTCTATGGACGACGTCTATGTGCATTGTGGTCCCTCTCCTTCCACTATCTGGGGCATGAGTATTATGTCTCACAACTTTTGCTAGCTTCCGTCATCGCGCGTTTTATCAAATAACATTCGTTTTAACAAACGTAATTAAAACTAATGTATGTACGTTGTGCACAGATGTTGAAGTTCAATTTTAAGGAGACTTAGAAAACGTGTAGTCATTAATATAAAATTTTGTCCCACAAAGACAAAATTCATATGAAGGAAGTTTGCAAAAGTAACAAGGTCTGTACTATTTCACTGCCACTTCACACAGTCACTTTGATATTTATCGAGAAATCTTTTTACGTTGAAAGTTTTGCATTGTGTTCTCCTAGGACAGATAGACGATCTTTCTGTTAACTTCTTAGATGCAAACTTCCAAGTATCTACGATACGTACTACAAAGTATTTATTAGTCATTTGATAAACTACAATAAACAATAGAATCAAGCATCTTGCTTTACAGAATCTTTAAGAACTGCGCTAAATATAAACAGAAGTAATATCGTAGGGTAAATGCGTTCAGAAATCTTCAACGATTGTCAATCGTAATAAACGGTATTTTATGAGATCGTAAACATCGGGAGTTTTGATCGCTGATATAACAGCGAATGCTGCAAGTTATTTCAAACTTACGTGTACACCTCAATGTCTTGATGTGAAAATTAATTATCACAAAGTATAATTCTTCAACATAAGTAAATCATACGACAGTAAGTAACACAAAAGTTCACTTCAACCAATTTCCCGATCGATATATTATTATTATTCCGAAATTACTACTTCAGTAAAATGTGCCGTTGGATCGTTGAAAATTAAACGTGAACAAGTTTATCTTGCGATACGAACGAAAACGTAAGTTGTATACGATGTTACATGGGTGCAGGTACCGGGTGGACCGCACAAGAAAGAACTCTTGGAAAATCTGGATCGAGTGCCGACGTACGTTCAGCAGCTGCAATTCACCGTCAAGAACCCTACCGTCGGCAAGGCCGCGACTTTTACGAAGGTCGACAATGTCATACAAGAAACGAAAAATCTCATGAATGTGATCTCGAAGGTGGTCACAACGTGTTTCGTCTGCGCCACAAAGGTGAGCCGTGAGAATGTTCGACGTACCCGATCGATCTATCTCCTAAATGAATCAATATGTGCTTTTGCGCCACTTTTTATGACTGAGGTTGCCTGTATTGGATGAGCTCGTATACGATTCGAGTAGATTTTTATTCGTGATATCTTACTATCTTTAAAACAACAAAAAGCAACCAATTCTATATCTACAGGTAGCTTTAGCCGTCCGGGGCGATTTATATATAAAATGATAACAGAGATATAATTCTGTAAAGTGACGTTGTGTAAAAATTACATACGAGATAACACAGATTAAGAAATTGCCTTTGGAATGTATCAAACCTGTGCGAGTGTTTGTTGTATCGGGACGCCGGTGGCCATCGGCACGAAATAATATTTCCACCGAGTCAATGTAATACGTTTTCATGTCGAGCGCGTTTCAAGTATTCGCACAGGTGTTCAGAGTCGAAGCCGCAGAGACACGCATTCAGGCTAAAGAGAAATCTAGCGTCTATCTCCATGCATTCTATATTCACCACCCTAGCACAATCTCGTCATGCCGCAATACACGGAGCTCAGCCCGACGACGGTGCCCGGCCAGGCCGAAGAGGATTGTTTGTATCCGATTAGCCCGCAATTGTTACCCTCGACGAGCCCTTACGTGCAACCCCATCCACTCACGTCCGCGCAATTTCACAGTATCCTGAAACCACCCCCGAGCCTGAGCTGCCTGTCCCTGCTGCCCTTCAGTTACAGCCCTGGGGGACACCCCAGTGCCGGGCTGTCCCGGAACTCCGGCTCCTTCGTGCATCCGTCCGTCTTACCGCACACAACGCCCGGAACGCAGCAGCCATCCTACTGCCTGCAGAATCTGCAGCTCCTCCAGCTGCAGCTGCACCACGCACAACTGCAGCACTTAAGACACGCAACGCTACCGAGATAATAGCAGCCTTGTGTAATACGTCGTGCCGTAGCACGTGGCACGTGACATTGTCGTTTCACGCGCACGCACGCACACGTCGAGAACACTACACGTTCTTCGTACAGGTTCGACCTTGGTTTCGTTTCAGCTTCTTCCTTTGATTTCGCATCACCCGATTTCGGTCACGCTACAACATCGAATCGTCGTAATTTCGTTAAACTCGCAATGACAACTGTCTCTCTCTCTCTCTTTCTCCTTGGCACGAGTTTCGAGATGCGCAAAGGATCGGCTTTGCGATTATATCGTACAACTCTAACGGAAAAGTAACGTTATCGACATTACGACGAATCAGTTGCCTTTTAGCTTTTGACTTGGCGGCTTGTCATTCTTTGCGTAGATCTTTCTATTACGGCTGGCATCTTCATTTGCAGCTTCTTTGATATCTTTTACTCTTTTTTTTTTATATATATAACTCGCGTGTTGCACCGATTTCGCTTTGACTTAACGAGACACAGCGCGATACACCCACGACAGATCCATCCAACGATATCATCATGTAACAATAATCGACTCGAATTAATCCATTTTCAGCTACCTTTACAGGAATGGCTACACCACGTACCTCGTAATGAAATCTAATATCTCTTCCCGCAATAATCTCAGATACTCTGACAAACGAGTATCTTGACAGAAAAACGATCGTGCTTGGTTGCCCGCGACGCAATACACGCTCTCGGAAATATATGAAGATAACGAGACGTCGCATTAAAGTAAAACGAATTGGCTGTTTGTCAGAGTACACGATCCTCGTTACACACTAGATCGCAAAACAGACTCGCCAAGTATGACGGCAAGAGCGTAAGGGTGCCGCAGCACGTGACACCACGAGAATAAATCTCTAATAACTTGCGAATGCTAAACTTCGGGGCATAACATTAATCCTTCGACCGGAAGCTCGTGGGAAGGACCGAGTAGAGATTCGGTGTTGGAGACGCGACACGCGCCGTAGGCGACTTTCGGCGAGCTTCCGCTTGATACGACCCCCTTATCGAAGTGAGCCCGCGAGAGCCCAGGGGCTCGCGCGACATACGCGACATGTATTAATCTCTGGTAACGTCTTTTCAGTACAACCTGGATTTCCGAGGTCTGTCGGCGCGCGGGGCCGGCGGCTCGCCGTACAGGGGCGGAGAGGGCGGGGGAGCTGACGGCGACGGCGGCGGAGTTGGGGCCGACGGCAGCAAGACGGGCTCCGCCCCCGGCAGCGACCCGTCCGTCTGACAGTTTGGGATGGCCCGACGGGCCAAGGGGGACGCTCGCCGCACCCGGGTTTCCTTTCTGCTTTTCTAGGGAGAACCTCGCCTGCCCCAACGACCCACCAAAGCGATGTACACGTCGACCGGATGTCGCGGAATTGCCGCCAACAACTGTCGGCAAGTACCGCGGCGACCGCGCGTCGGGATACAGTATTCGGAGGTGCCTCGCCTGGCCGGGATACGCTCGCCGCCGTCGTCGCGGCGGCGACGTGTCGCGCGTAGTAACGGTATTCGGAACCTGTGCGTGAGGAAAGTAGCGTTCCTCTGGAACGCCCTGATGATTTGGTACTTGGTAGTTGGAAAGGAGAACGGATTCGACTTGACGCCTTCGCGAAAGTGTTGATTGGGGAGTAAAGGAGTCCCGCTGCTGGTCGAAACGTTAGGATTCATCCAGCCCGGTGATACTCGCACATTTCGACCAGGAACGACAGTCTCCGGCCGCGGTATCGACTAACGACTTGCGATCTCAAGGGAATACACGCGCTTGAAATATTTGCGACGGTTCGATGCGCTTGGACAATCGTTTGAAGTGTAACGATGATGCTCGGTCGACGTGTACGTTTCGCCAAACCGCGTTTAGTTGCGTACTTGAACTTGTAATAATGGAAAACAGATTTGCACACGCTTGCTACTATTAGTGAGCAGGTGTCGGAGCTGAGTTGGGAGCGCTGATTTATACGGTCGAGTTCCGCCGCGCGTGGCGATCGAGGCGTGGGAAAGCGGAAAATCGAGCTGAGCTGGTACCACGTGGAGAGCCGAGTGGCAGCGAAAGTGGCGGATCAAATGTAGCACGTGCGAAATTGTTCCTCAATTCGATTACGCGACCCACGCTTTGATCGTTGGCAGTACCGGTGAAAAATGTCGCTAGAAATATCGAGCAGCAGAGGGCTGCTCGCGAGCCAATGAAATTCACCTTTGCAGCTTGGCGCAATTAAATTACGCCTTTTCACATTTCAGTAATAACATTGCTCGGAATGAGGTTGCGGCAAACACCGCGCCGTCACATTTCACTGCTGTTGCATTAATAACAGCCTCACTTTCCTGCTATTGCATCTGAACGCTACGTTTAAGAGCATCCCGTAACGTAAATTGGCTTAATAAATTGCAAAATTAAGCCCCAACCTGCGATTACGACTCCGCACTTTACAAGTCAGCTTAGCTCACTCAACACGCAGTACGTTTTGTTACGACGCTAAGCTAAAGTCGCCCGATACACTTTCGGCGCGTAAGGACGTATCTCGCGAACGCTCGGAATCTCGTTTCATTGTTCTCGCGGGGAACGCGGCGAAACTTTTCCGCCAACCTACGGCTGCGCACAAACGAATCATTCTTCCATATCGAGAAGTTGGTGCAACGACAATAATTAACAATGTCGATCGCAGTGCCTTTTAGGTGTGAAAACTTTGTCGAAACTTTGCCGAGCTTCAACCTCAGCTCCCGAAGTGTTACGCCAACTTCGGCAACCAGATTATGCAAAGAGAGAGGGAGACGCATTGTACTCGCAGGAAAATACCTCCCGCGCACATGCGTTACATCCGCATGACTTTAGCGTGATCGTCAAGGCGTACTGTATCCGCGGAAAGCTTTAAAAGCTCTCACCACTCGGAAGCGAGCCGCCGCGAGGACCTTCGAGTAGTGTAAGCGTTGCTGACCACGCGCCAACGAACGGCTTTCCCTTCTCTTTGTACTCCGTTCACTGGCTAATTAGAGAAATTTGAACAGTGGCGGTCTCTGAAATCTCTATACGAGTCTTACTCGTACGAAGGACCTTCTCTCTTTTCTTACACTCGCTTTAACAGCTTCGCCTGCCATTCTTCAAATTCCTCAGAGCAGACCCACGTATCCAAAGATACAATCTTTCAGCACTTGCGATTAAAAATCCTTCTGGGCAAAGAAAACCGATCACTTTCACGCAACCGCGGTACTCGCGAGTAGCAAAGAATTAGTCCGCCTCCGTATAGAAATAGAAAAGACAATCGTGGGGCAGGAGGTCTATCGAGGGTGACCTGGGGGCGGCAGCAGGGCGGTCAGGGACGTACTTTGTGGCAAAGACGTACATTCTGTCACCACTCGAGATCACGAGCTGCGAATCAGCCTAATTTTCGTCGCTCATGCACAAAACGGATTGTCCGATTTGTAACCGTATGAATATGCAAAAGTTCTCTCCCTCGCGAGAGAGAGAGAGTGTATGTGTGTGTGCGTGTGCGTGTGTGTGTATGTGTGTGAGAGAGAGAGAGACCGAGGCCGAGTTTCAAGATCGTTCGCAAATCGGGTATTTCCGGGACAGCATTTCAACGACGTGAAAACTTCCTCTTGATGCCACAAAGAAAAGCGAGAAACGGCGACAGTTGTGCCGAATCGCCTCCGAGGAAACAATTCGAGTATTTTATCAAAGTACCGATCCTGTACCGGATCGATCGAATTGTACGCGATGCCGTGAGTTAACGGCGAGGATAGATTCTCAAGCGCGCGTTCACGAGGAGCTCGAAATTGTTCTATATCCGTGGAATACCTAAAGATTCCAGCATGTTCGAGAGAAATTTCTAGCAATACGTAATAGAGAGAATTACAGCCGCGTAGGACCCGCGTTAGTCAACTGCAATCCGGCGATTGCAGTCGTCGAGTTCCCTTCGTACGCGCGAATGCTCGCGCAAATAAATGGCGGAAGCGAATCCCCTGCCGGTAACGCCGGAGGATCGCTCTAACATGCGGAATCGCCGCGATTAAGCGCGACAAATAGATGTCCCCCCTCGATGCGCGGCGAGATTCGCGAGAGAACGTAAAGAGAGTTTGTCGGCCGATTCTAACGCATATCGTGACAGCGATAACGTCGGGATATGTTACCGTTGTTACCCTTTCCTTCGAGAAGAGAGCAGAAGAATCGGCGAATCCAGTCGCGCGTCGAGCTCGCGAGAGAACTGATCGCTGTAGCGAGATAAAAGTCGATAAGTCGATAATAATGTAACGATAATCTAGTATTATTAATGTTAAAGCCGCTGGTTAATCGGCGGCAATCGCGACGTCTGTATATACAACGTTAAGCGTACGCAAGGGAGATGCGTTGACCATTCGTGCATTTCACGTATGTACCTACGAGTAAGTGCACGAAAGAACACACTGTTCTGCGTGTGTGTATCGTACAGAGTTTGCGCGAAAAGAAAATAATCGCTTTACAACGCATACGCTCGATCCGATTTATGTAACGCTAGAACGCCCGTTTCTCCTCTCCTAACCCTTTGAAGCACGGGGTAACCCACGTTACCCACCACCTCCTTTACTTTTTGACCATGTAATTTCTAGTCAGTTAACGCATTT